TCCAGATGATCTGCAGAATTATAATCTAGCCAGAGATAAACAGAAATGCACCAATGTAAGGCCTCATAGCAGATTGGGTTATGAAGACTTAGTCTCATGTGCACTTCTCATCAGCAGCGATGATCCAACAACTTTTCAAGGAGCTATCACTAGCCAGGAGAAAGAAAAATGGATGAGTGCAATGGTTGAAGAGATGAAGTCTTTGCAGAAAAATTGTACTTGGGAGCTAGTTCAGCTTCCAGAAGGAAAGAAGGCTATTGGGTGCAAATGGGTCTACAAAAGGAAACCAGCAGTATCAGAAAAATAAGGGGAAAAGTTCAAGGCTCGACTGAGCTGCATCATTCTCTATTGGGTGCAAATGGGCCTATATGTTGGAAATCAACAATTCAGTCTATTGTGGCATTATCTACAACTGAAGCTGAGTACATGACAGTAGCTGAAGCTGCTAAAGAAGCCTTATGGCTTGTTGGGCTAGTAAAGGAACTGGGCATTGAGCAAGGTGGAGTTCAGTTGCATTGTGACAATCAGAGTGCTATTTATCTGGCTAAGAATCAGGTGTACTATGCGAGAACCAAGCACATTGATGTCAGGTATCACAAGATCAGAGAGTTGATTGCTTCTGAGGAGATACTGTTGCAGAGGGTTCATACTGATGAAAATGCAGTTGATATGTTGACCAAGCCAGTTACTATCAACAAGTTCTTGCATTGCTTGGGCTTGTTGAATGTTTGCAGTTGCTAGAGAAGCATGGTGGCCCAACCCACAGTGGTGCAGATGTAACTCCCAGGTATTTTTCTCCTAAGGAGCTGAATATTCGCCAAGGTGGAGATTTGTTATGGTATGACTCATATACCATATCGGGACAGACGCTGGATCGAAGCGGAGCGGAGCGGAGCGAAAGAATCTGTCCAAATTGGGAAGTTACGTGGGTTGGGGTGCAGGGGCAAAGCCCCGCGGTATGGTACAAGAGTAATGTTGTAATTACTTGTTGTGCTTAGGTTTACTCTTGGGGTTATAAATAAGTCTGTTAGTAACCCCAGGAGGTATCCCTGAATTCTGTAATCTCTTTTCTGATTATTGAAAGGAAGTCACCGCTCTGCTCCCGAGGACGTAGGCATCTTTGCCGAACCTCGTTAAATCTTTGTGTTTTTCTGGATTTGTGTCGATTACTGTTTTTCTTCGCCCTAATTTTCTCAACACTAAGTCAAATATAATATTTAGAATAGCAATTTTAAGTATAAATTTATTGAAATCAAAGCTCATATTGTCCTGAATTCAGTCATGAGAGTTTTTTTTATCAAGATTTAAGCTCAATCGATTGAAATAAAAAAAATAATGTGCACTTACTCTTTGACATAATTGCTGAAGGTATACTTTTGATACGCCATCAACAAATTCTCATCATCCATTATGAATCTCGAGGCATGACACAGATCTCGAGATAATTTTTTGAGCAAGAAATGTTCAAATATTGATAAAAGTTATATAAAACTCAGATTTCAACAAACTTATAGTCAAACTAACTGGCTCGATGAGATGACCCTAATGTTATCAAAATTAATCCAATCTGGGTAAAATCAAGCTCAGATCAAGTCATCAAACCACACTTCAAAGTTTTTTGAACATATGTAAAATGTCGAATCTAACAAGACTATAGTCGAATTGAGCATTTCAACAAGACGAGTCCAGTGAGCCCAAGATTGTTCGTTAAATAACTCAAATGTCCATCAAACACTGTCTGATCGAATGAAGCTCTTTGGATTGTTCAATCAAAGTGGTCCATATTTTTACATTAATTACACACAGAACACTTTAAATAGAACCCTACTTTA